TTTTTTTTAACATGAACAGAATTTCAGAAATAAAGTTGTACTTGAAATAAACTCGTCCCAAACCAAAATGCTTTACTTGTCCCAAAATAAAATGTTTTAATATGTTAAAAGTACTATGCACAGTTTAACAAGTAAAACTAATTACATTTTAAAATAATAAAAAAAAGTTTTTGTATGTTAAAAAGTCCATATTTTATATTTTTATAGTAGTTTTATGAGTTGAAACTATATACTATATTGTTTGGGGGGGAAACGTGGTACATAAAGGTCAGTTTTACTTGTCTGAAAGGCAAGTACTTGGAAGAGCTTAATATGGAGCCTTGAGTGTAAAGTTTTAATCACAAAAGAAGTCTTAAACATTAATTTTGCAGCCTGAAGAAACTATGTAGTTGTGTCAGTTGAATAGTTACTTCAGTCAAGATTGTTCACTTGAAGGCGTGGTTTTTTGACACTAGTAAACGCAGAATGAGTCAGACCTACTCAAAACATACACTGCAGAAAAACTTCAACTGGATGCCTTTGTTGTCCTTGCTTTTGGAGAGATTAGTTATAACAGCCAGCAGTGTTCAAACTTCATGACTATTTGTACTATAGTAGTGAATTCTTCAGATTCCTTTTCTGAGTTATAGAAAGCCACAGGAAAATGTTGCCAGATTGTGATACTTGTGATTACGGGTCCGTGCTTTATTTTGACAGATTCAAACTGTAACGTTAATTCCTGGAGATGGAATCGGTCCAGAGATCTCCACTGCAGTAATGAAGATATTTGAAGCAGCTAAGGTAAGTATCTGTTGTTTCACTCTTCGGGAATGCAGCCTAGGCTGCAAGTTGCAGCAAGTGCATTATGCAGTTTTTCTACACGAGTCAGGCTAAAAAATGAGCTACTATGTTTTTTTTTTACCCCTTTGAACACTGCTTTAAGACTTAGGTGTGAATTTCTTTCCTCACCCAGGCCCCTATTCAATGGGAAGAGAGAAACGTCACTGCCATCAAAGGGCCCGGAGGCAGGTGGATGATCCCTCCTGAGGCCAAAGAGTCGATGAACAAAAACAAAATTGGATTAAAAGGTCAATTTGCCGACTGTGTCTCATATCAGGCATAGTGTGTATGAAACTTGCATGATCAAAACGGAATTATATTTCAGGACCCCTGAAGACACCAATTGCTGCTGGACATCCGTCCATGAACCTGCTGCTAAGGAAGACCTTTGACCTTTATGCTAATGTGCGTCCCTGCGTGTCGATCGAGGGCTATAAGACGCCTTACACCGATGTGGATCTGGTCACCATCAGAGAAAACACAGAAGGAGAGTACAGTGGGATCGAACATTTGGTAAGTATGAGTGCTCACCTGTATTTTAAACTATTTAACCTGTAACTCAGCCAAACCAGGGATAGTTGATCGTATTCTTTTGATTTCTGCTTCAGGATCTGCATTTGCAGGAATAGGTATTTGAACCCTTTGGATTTAAATGGAGTTCTGCATTAA